CCCCAAAGCCCCAGTAGATAGTTGTATGTCATAGCTGCACATCCTTCTAGTTGCTGTATGTGGGACGCAGCCTCAGCATGGCCCGAGAAGCGGTGTGTCGGTGCACGCCCGGGATCCAAACCGGGGCTGCCAGTAGCGGAGCACGCACTTAACCGCTAAGCCATGGGGCCGACCCCTCTTCAGGTGATTCTAATTTGCAGATAGAGTTGAAAACCAAAAAAAATGGAACAGCATGATGCAGGAAGGAAGGTGGCCAGCTAAAAGAAGGGATAAAATATAAATAAAAACAGACTCTTATATTAATATAGTCTTCCAATTAGAAAGCATAAATGTTAATTTCTAACATAAAAGCAGTATTTTGGATAAATAAGCTATCTTTCATTTAAGCACTGTGAAAAATGAAAAATCAAGATCCACTTTCCAGAAATAATACAGGTCAGTTATGAAAAGAGGACAGAAGAAGTCAAGAGGGAGCAGCTTAGATGACGAACGCCACAGCTGCTGCTCCATCATTTTATTTCCATCTTAGGATTTACTCTTCTCTACATATTTTTAAAATTCTTTTTTAAAACATGTCATACTGAAAATTTCATACATATATATAAGTAGACAGAAGAGTATAATGAACCCATCACCAACTTCAACTGTTAGAATTTGTGGCCAGTCTTATTTCACCATAATCCCATCCAGTTCCCCTCTTCCTGTGTTATTTTGAAGTAAATCACAGCAATCATATTTCATTAATAAATATTTGAGTGTGTATCTCTAAAAGATCAGGACTCCTTTTTCCTTTTTTGTTAAGATATAATTGACATGTAACATTGTGTAAGTTTAAGGTGTACAACATGTTGATACATTTATATATTGCAATATGATTGCCATTGTAGTGTTAGCTAATACTTCTATCATGTCACATAATTATTTCTTTTTCGTGGTAGGAATAATTAAGATCCAGTGTCTTAGCAAATTTGATGTTTATGTATAATGTAGTACTGTCTATAGTCACTGTGCTGTGCATTAGATCTCCAGGACTTACTTATCTACTAGTTGCAAGTTTATACTCTTAAACAACATCTCTCCTATTCTCCCACCTCCCAGCCTCTGGTAACCACCATTCTACTCTGTTTTTATGAGTTTGGCTTTTTTAGATTCCACATATAAGTGAGATCATGCAGTATTTGTCTGTCTCTGTCTGACTTATCTCACTTAGTGTAATGTTCTCAAGGTCCATCCATATTGTCGCAAATGGCAGCATTTCTTTTTTTTCTCATGGCTGGATAATATTCCCACTGTATATTTACATACCACATCTTTTTTATCTCTTCATCTGTTGGCGGACACTTAGGTTGTTTCCATACCTTAGCTATTGTAAATAATGCTGCAATAAATATGAGAGTACATTTATCTCTTCAATATCTTGTTTTCATTTCCTTTGGATATACACCCAGATGTGGAATTGCTGGATCATATGGCAGTTCTGTTTTTAATTTTTTGAGGAAACTCCATACTGCTTTCCATAGTGGCTGCACCAATTTACATTCCCACCAACAGTGCACAAGGGTTGCCTTTTCTCCACATCCTCACCAACACTTATCTCTTGTCTTCTTGATGATAGCCATTCTAACAGGTGTGAGGTGATATCTCATTGTGATTTTGATTTGCATTTCCCTGATGATTAGTGAGGTTGAGCATCTTTTCATGTACCTGTTGGCCATTTGGATGTCTTAGGAAAAAAATGTCTATTTTATTCCTCTGCCCATTTTTTAATTGAATTTTTTTTTTGTTTTCGCTATTGAGTTCTTTATATATTTTGGATATTAACTCCTTATCAGATATATGATTTGCAAATATTTTCTCCTATTCTCTAGGTTGCCTTTTCATTGTGTTGATTGTTTCTTTTGCTGTGCAGAAACTTTTAAGTTTGAGGTAGTCCCACTTGTTGATTTTTGCTTTTGTTTTTGTGCTTTTGGTGTCATATCCAAAAATCATTGCCAAGACCAATGTCAAGGAGCTTCTTCTCTATGTTTTCTTCTAGGAGTTTATACAATATTAGATCTTATGTTTAAGTCTTTGATCCATTTTGAGTTAATTTTTGTGAATGATGTAAGATAGGGGTCCAATTTCATTTTTCTGCATGTAGTTATCCAGTTTTCCCAACACCATTTGTTGAAGAGGGGACTCCTTTTTCTTTTTCATGTTACCACAATACTGTTATCATGATACAATTTACACATCTAAAAAAATTCTTAATATTCTCAAATAGCCAGGGAATATTCAAATTTCCAAATGTGTCACAAATGTCAAACTGTAAACACTTTTTAAAAATCAGTATTCAAATAGAGTCTACACATTGTAATAGATTATGGTTGTGAATCTCTCTTAATCTACAGGTTTCTCCATGTATTTTACCCTTTGGCATTTATGTGTTGAAACTAGAAGTAGACAGACTTTTTTCCATAGTGACTTTCTGTACAAAATTTAATACACTATAGCAGCAAATAGGTTACTAAAGGCAATCACATCATGTATGTAGTCTTCTGTTGCTTTTTCCTGAACTATATATCCAATTCAAAAAGAGAAAAAAGGCCATGCTTGAACTTCAAATCACTACATTTCTTTTCAAGGCTAGAATAAGTAAATAATGCTAAAGGAACTTAGTGTGTTACTCTGATGAAGGCTTATTGCTGTATATCCTTCAGACTACATGTGATGTTTATTTATCATTTATACTCCAACTGCTTTAAAAATGTTTTGAAAATGCTGACAACAGAAATATATGTGATAAAGATACGAACTTTTTAAAATGTGAGGGGAAGAGCCAATTGTACTAACCACCTAAGTTACATAAATGTCAGCTGATAATGACAATCGGTTCTGCCAGGGAGACAAACCTCAAGTTCAACATCTTAGGAATCATAGGTAATATTATTGAGCCCTTATGTGCCTGGGACTGTGCTAAGCATTTTCTAGGGATTACTTCATTTGCTCCTCACAACAGTCACTCGCCCAAGGCCACACAGCTAGTACGAATCCAGGCACTGTGCTTCTCAAGACTGCAGACCTCACCGCGCCCTACTACAGGCATTCCTCATTTTATTGCACTTCATTTTATTGCGCTTTGCAGGTATTGCGTTTTTTACAAGACCCTCTGCCAGCAAAAAGATTATGACTCACTGAAGGCTCAGATGATGGTTAGCATTTTTTAGCAATGAAGTATTTTTTTAATTGAGGTATGTACGTTGTTCTTTTAGACATAACGCTATTGCACACTTAATAGACTAGAGTATAAACATAACTTTTATATGCACTGCAAAACCAAAAAATTCATGTGACTCGCTCTATTGCAATATTCGCTTTATTGTGGTGGTCTGGAACCGAACCTACAGTACCTCCAAGGTATGCCTGTAACTCGAATATAGGAAGCATCTGCAACCCCCAGATCTAGCCAGCCATGATGATCTCTCTTGAATCTTTCTCCTCAATGGCTCTCAAATTCATCTTATCCTCACCACTCCCACAGCAATATCTCTCATCTGGGTTACTACAATTGCCTCCCTTAAAAAAACACTCTAATTTCATTAAAGTCATCTCCTAAAAATGTATACACCCTCCTTCCACAGCATAGAATTGTCACTGGGAATGGCTGCCCAGCCAGGAGCTATATTTCCCAATACACGCTAGGTAAGGCCAGATTTCCCCAGCAAATGACTTCAGGTTATGTCAGGTTTTGCTGTTAAATGAGTTATGAAAATCTGTTGGTTTTCAGATCTTTTAGAATTTTGGAATCAAGGATGTGGGATTGTAGACCTGTTCCCTCTATAGTAGCAGCCCCATCTAGCTGTCTAGTCTTATTTTCCATAACTCCCTTACAATCCAAAGTTTCAAACTGGGATACATATCATGATGCCAGGGGCTTTGCAAAGACCCAAGATAAAGGCAGTGTTTCTTCCTGCACATCAACCACACTCTGGTAAGTAATATGAAACATTTATATGAAGACATGAATGTATCTGTAGAAGAAAAAACTCACAAACTTTTAGGATAAAACAAGTGATTTCAAAGAAACTTGCTATGTAGCATCAGGTGAAGGTCTCAGACACTAAAGGGTACAAGCCCTCTTGTCTCTGCCATTAGGACTCAGGTGGAAACTGTTGAGAAGCACATCATATGAACTCTGGAAGCCAGCCAAACCCTTCTGTAGCTTTTCCACCCTCTTATCTTAGCTCAGTGTTTCCTCACCTGTGGTTTTCCCGCTCCCCTCTTTGGAGTTTAAAGATGTTTCAAGGAGTTCACATTGTTACAGGTGGTAGCAGCATCTCATTTTTTTTTTTTTATGAGGAAGGTTAGCCCTGAGCTAACATCTGCCAATCCTCCTCTTTTTTTTGCTGAGGAAGACTGGCCCTGGGCTAACATCCGTGCCCATCTTCCTCCACTTTATATGGAACACTGCCACAGCATGGCTTGACAAGTGCTGCATCAGTGCGCGCCCGGGATGCGAACCCGCAAACCCCGGGCTGCCGAAGCGGAGTGTGCGAATTTAACTGCTACGCCACCGGGCCGGCCCCAGCATCTCCATTTTGTAAATTCATAATTATTTAAACTATTTATGTGATGGGGATTATGTTACTAATGTGTAACTCTTCCTAGACTTCCATCCCTTATCCCCTGCTGCTAAGAGAATTTGTCATCTGCTTAGATTCTCTTTCCTCCACCATGCCTTCTGCAGGAGAATTCTGTTTTTGTCAGATGGGTTCAAAGTTTTTGTGTTGAAGGAAAAAAAGAATCCTCATATACTAAATCGGCTGACATAAAGAGTTTGAGAGAAAAAGGCCAGGAAGGGAGTGGGAGATGGAAAAAGTCAACAAATTTAAAAAACCTACAAGTACCTAGCTCAATGAATTTAAAAAACCAAACAAAAAACAAAAACCCACTTCAAGGCATATAAACAGTTAGAACACCAGGGATAAAATAAAAAGACAATCCTAAAAACTTCTAGAAAGAAAAAACGTGTCATATATAGAGCAAGAATTTGATGACGTCAGACTTCTTCAGAGCGACACTGGAAGTTGGAAGACAACGGAGCAATGCTCTCTAATCTCTGAGGGCGATATTTTCCAAGCTAGAATTGCATCCACTCTAGTTATCATCAAGTTTGAGTGAAGGATAAGACATTTTCATACAGGTGAGTCCTCAAAATATTTACCGCTCAAAGCACACTGTCTCAGGAAGCCACTAGAAGAAGGAGGGAAAGCAAGAAAGAGGGAGATCCAAGTGCCATAAAACAGTCTCTAAACACAGGAGAGAGGTGAAGAGGATTCTTAGGATCACGTTGAGAGGAATTCCCAAATGATAACAGTACAGCAGGGCAGTTAAGCAATCAGTCCAGACTGGGGCAGGAAGACAGAGAGCTAGGAGGATAGCGTGGGGTGAGGGTGGTGATTACCTGATGAATGTAAATGTAATGAGAGGAGATCTATACTTGTGACAAAAAGAGGATATGGATGAATTGGTGATAATTACACAGAAAATTTAAGCAAACGTTTAAAATGCAGTATTATTAACTTCAGGGAAAGCAACAAAGGAAGTATAATAATTGCATACTATATGGATTAGCTGTGGATATTTGCCTAATAATAACAATGTAAATTCTGAAAACTGGTCATACCAACATTGTGTTCTAACTTTATGGGAAGAAGGAGGTGAGTGGGAGCAGGTGTGTGTGTTTGTGCTGTCACTCCATATAAAGTGACAATTCTGCACCCTGGGGAGAAGGACATCAGCCATTTTCACCTTAACATGACTTTTTAATTTACACACAACACAAAAATTATGACATGATTCAAACTTTGCAAGGGGTCAGATGTATAAAAAGGTCAGGAAAAGCTGTCTCCTCAAGAACATCCTGCTCTCTTACCCTATCAATTATTTTTACCAGATTAAACACTCTCTGAGGGCAGGGGTAACACTGGAAACATCTCTTGCTTGCGAGGCATAAGGATGATTTCTATATTATTCATTTAGTTCCCATGAGATCGGTACTATTATAACCCCCATTTTCCAGAAAAGGAGACTGAAGCTCCGGTTCTTGCCCAGAGACTAAGGGGTGGAGCCAGGAGCCCGGCTGCGGACCCGGAGCCTCTCTCCCGCCCACTAGGAGCCCTCCACCTGAGTCCCGCCGCCCCTGGCCAGTGGCAAGCACGAAAAGGCCGTCCAATAAGTACGTGTTTAACTGAAGCCCACAGAATTAATTGGCAGCAGAAGGCTCAAGTAGCCGAGAAACAGGAGAGAGACGCTGTGCATGTGCAGGTGGGGGCATCTGGGAGGGACGCTGCCCCGCCCAGGAGCGGGCTGGAAGGATGGCTGTCCCGGGAATTGCTGGGGACCGCTCCGTCTGGGGAAGCAGGTGAGACAGAAAGCCCACTGGTAAGTAAGACACTTTACCCGGCCGGAAAAAGAGGAGAGAGCTGGTGAGATAGTTCAGCAACTCCATAATATGATGTTTTTCCAAATAATTCCTGGCCTCGCGCTCCCTGCTGCCGCCCGCCTCCATCGCTGCGCGTCGAGCCGTTGCTAGGCGACGAGGCAGCGCTGCGGTCGCTCGGCTCCGCCCCCCGCCCGGCGCGGTGCGGGGATGCGCCTCCCCCGGCTGCGCCCTGGGCGCGGAGCTCTCCGCCTCCCCGCGGAGCGGAGGCGGGCCGGTGTAGGGAAGGGCGGAGACGCGGAGCATCCCGCGGGCACATTGCCCCGTCTGCCGTCCCGGCTGAGGGCTGGGCCTGACTGTCTTCTCCCGTTTCTGCCTCTAGCGCGTAGCTCAGTGCTTGCTGATCCAATGAATGAGGCCTCATGTGCTAATAACACCTGAGAAGGAACTAACAGAAGGAACTTGTGTAATTCTGGGGGTGTCCGGTGCAGAGTCCTGTGTAGCCTCTATGGTGAGCAGCCTGCTGCACGGCGGTGGTAATGGGGCAGGAAGGTAGCCCGTGGACTCAACCAGATATTACCCTTCACCAGAGAGTTAGCCCAGAACAGGCACTTCAAGAAGAGAAAAACAAATGGCCACATGAAAATATTCTCAGCCTCTTCAGCAATCCTGTAAACAAATGAAAACTACAAGAAAATATCATTTTACATCTACCAGACAGGTAAAAATTAGGAAGTTGGACGATATCAAGTGCTGGCAAGGATATAGTGCAACAAAACAGTCAGTGATGATGGGAGCGTAAATTGGAACATCTGCTTTGGAAAATGGTTGGGAATTATCTTGGTAATTTAAACATGTTTCTATACTATGACCCAGAAATTTCACTCCTAAAGCAACTCTTGTACGCGTGTACCAGAAGATATATACAAGAATGTTCACACAGCACTGTTCATAATAGAAAACACTGACAACAGCCCAAATATCTTCAAGAGTAGAATGGATTTTTAAAAACGGTAGTATGTTACACAATATACACAATGGAATACTATAAAGCATTGCAACAATGCATTGTAGCTACTTGCAACAATATGGGTGAATCTCAAAAACGTCATATTGTCCCAAGAGAATACATACTGTATGAGTCAATTTATATAAAGTTAAAAAACATACAGAACTAGGAATATATTGTTTACAGACTCAAATATATGCAGGAAATCTATTAAGAAATGCAAGGGAATGATACACACAAAATTCAGCTTAGTGTGTGCCTTGCAGGTGAGAGGAAAGGGAATGGGCTTATGGAGGAATATCCTGGGATCTCCAGGGGTAATGGTAATGTGATTTTTCTTTACCTGAGTGGTGTGTACAAAGGTGCTCATGGATTATGATTTATTAATAATAATTTTTGAGCAGTTGAAAAATAGAGGGTGGAAAGAGGACCCAGACAGTCAATGCCAGGAAACTGAACCAAACCTGAAACAGAAGAAGGTAGCTGAGGTGCTGGGGTCATGGTGGGGATCTTCAGAGGTCAGGCAGCAGAATCCTTTAAAGAAATTGTACGTGGAATCCCTGTACGCGGAACAGATAAAAGAGAGCACTCCACTGGGATTCACGTATAATGACGGGGTCCCATTATTGAAGCTGCTTTACGTGCACTTTTCTCACAAAGGCATGGCTGGTAGCTGAGTGATCCTGGTGACAGAGTTAACTGGACACTGGGGAGCCCTGACACAACCAAGCTGATAAAGCAGAGGCATTACTCCGGGGCCTGTTGGCCTGTGGGCCCGCTTGGACCCCTGGTTCCTGGTGGGTTCTGGGGATAATTTGAAAACTACTGATGTGGGCTGTTATTCTTCAGTGTGTTTTGATCCATCTTTTGGGGACTTTCTTTATGTTCCCTGATGGAGGGGACAGTGAAGCACAAACAGCAAAGCCTAAATTACATGCCTCCCCTCCAAATTATGACCACCTAAATGCTCGACCCTTCTGGGTTGACCAAAGATGTGTGATCACTTAGGAAGTGACTCTGGCTCAGCACAGCAGAGGCCAGGCAAGGACAGGGGGACTAAGATGGGGAGGGACCCCGGCAGAGGGGACAATGGCTCTGGGCAGTGGAAGAGGAGGACCTGAGTCACAGCAGACAGAGGGGGCTGCCCATGGTGTCCTTTGACTGCCTGGCCCAAGGCCAATGTGGCCTGGGGAAAGCAAAGTCAAAAATGTAAGGAACGTTCCTGCACAGAGGGAGAGAAGACTGCGTGTTGGTGCCTGGGAGACAGTGATTTCTGCTCAGCACTCCAGCTCAAGACGTTTGGTCTTCTCCTTGGGAACTTCATTTACTTCCTCTCCAGGAGCTAGTCCCTGAATAAATAGCTCTGCTCTTTGAACCTCAAATGACACTGAAATTGCAGCAATCTAATTCGCTCTGCCTATGAAGTCAGGCTGAGGAGAGCACATGCGACCACGCTGATGTCTTCCCAAGTTGCTGATTGTTTTCTGTCCCCACAAGCCTGGGTGCCTTTGTCTGCTCAGCGCTCCCTCTCATGACAGACGTCAGGCAGCTATGGCCCAACTCGCAATTCCCCTGGAAAGCGTGCTAAAGAGAAATGTCCAGATGCCACCTAGTGGAGTCAGCTATCCTCTGCCGATGCCATCTCTTAATAAGCCAATTTGGGGTTAATTAATTATCATCATTAACATCATCATCCTGATACTTCTCCTTCGTCTTCAACTCCTTGTCCTCCATCTCCTTATTATTACGAATCCTTTCAGTGGTTTGGGAGAGTGACTCCAGGTGGCATTAACTCGGCGGTTGGTTCTCAACCAGGACTGCAAATTAGGACCACTTGGGGTCCTTTAAAAGCCCTGAGGCTTCGCCCCATTCCAGGTCCGTGAAATTAAATCTCTTGGGATGGGGCCTGAATATCGGTAGTTTTAGTGGTGTTGTTTTGAACAGCTTTGTTGAGGTATAATTAACATTTAATAAGCTGCATATATGTAAGCTGTCCTCTTTGATAAGTTTTGATGTATGTATATATCCATGAAATCATCGCTACAATCAAGATAAGGAACATACCTGTCACCCCAGAAGTTTCCCTGTGCCCCTTTCTAGCTCCTCCCTCTCACCTCTCTTTAACCCCGTCCCCCCATCACCAGGCCACTACAGACCTGCTATCTGTAACTATAGATTAATTTACATTTTCTAGAATTTTATATAAATGGCACCATACAGTATGTACTATGTTTTTTTGCCTGGTGTCTTTCACTGAATATAATTATTTTTTGAGATTCACTCATGTTATTGCATGTATCGATAGTTCACTCCCTTTTTACTGCTGAGCAAGAGTCTATGGTATGGATAGACCACAATTTGTTTATCCATTCATCCGTTTATGGACATTTGGGTTGTTTTCAGTTGTTTTATTGCAAATAAAGCTGCTATGAACATTCATGCACAGATCTTTGTGTGGACATATGATTTCATTTCTCTTGGGTAAATACCTAGGAGTGGGATGACTGGATCATACGGTAGGTGTATGTTTAACATGTGTAACATTTTTTTTTTTTTTTTTTGGTGAGGAAGATTCTCCCTGAGCTAACATCTGTGCCAGTCTTTCTCTTTTTTGTATGTGGGTCACTGCCACAGCATGGCCGCCAATGAGTGGTGTAAGTCTGTGCCTGGGATCCGAACCCACGAACCCCGGGCCACTGAAGTGCAGGGCGCTGGACTTTACCACCAGGCCACGGGGCCGCCCGTTTAACTTTTTAGGAAACTGCCAGGGCCGGCCCCGTGGCTTAGCAGTTAAGTGTGTGCGCTTCGCTGCTGGTGGCCCGGGTTCGGATCCCGGGCGCGCACCGATGCGCTGCTTCTCTGGCCATGCTGAGGCCGCATCCCACATACAGCAACTAGAAGGATGTGCAGCTATGACATACAACTATCTACTGGGGCTTTGGGGGAAAAAAAAAAAAAAAGAAACTGCCAAACTGTTTTCTAAAGTGGCTGTATCATTTTACATCCCTGAACTGGCAGTGATTAAAGGCTTCCCAGGCGATCCTAGTGGACAGCCAGGACTGAGACCCTGCGTTAACGGCAATGTGTGCAGGTTGAGCTGAAGGTCTGGGAAATGTTGACTAGGAGTCCCTGGAGTCTAGGAGCTCCCAGCTCATGCTCGGTATAGTCCCACAGACGTCTCAACCCAGGACACGCACTGGAGTCTCCTGCGGAGCCTTTTAAAAATACAGTGTCTGCCCCGTCTCCCCCCAGCAAGTCTGATATAATTGCTCTGGGGGCGGGGGACAGGGATTGGGGCTGTGTCAGGCATCACAACTTTTTAACAGCTTCCTGGATGGTTTTGAGCACAGAGTGACCAACTGTCCTGGTTTGCCCAGGACTGTGTGGGCTTCCAGTGACGTGAAACTTTCAACAATAAAACTGGGAAAGTCCCAGGTCAACTTAACACTTGGTCACTCTATCTGTGGACCACCAGCACAAAGAGCCCGGGCTTCGGTGTGGGATAGACTTGTCAATCTGCCCCTGGACCCTGGAGTTATAGCTCAGGGTTGGGGTGTGTGTTTGGGGGTGGGCATGTATAAAAAGGAAAGTGGGGGGACATGAGTTGCCAGAACAGACTGTGGGCTGATTCCTTCTCTCCATTTTATGTTTTGACCAGGGACAACTCAGAGATGCCTCAGCTAGGAGTTTTGGTTGCTGTTAAGAAGGAGAGAAGGGGCCGGCCCCATAGCCTAGTGGTTAAGTTCAGCTGGGCATGGACATACACCACTTGTCAGCGGCCATGCTGTGGCAGTGACCCACATACAAAATAGAGGAAGATTGGCACAGATGTTAGCTCAGGGGGAGTTTTCCTCAAGCAAAAAGAGGATTGGCAACAGATGTTAGCTCAGGGTGAATCTTCCTCAGCAAAAGAAAAAAAAAAAAGAGGGAGAAAAAAAATAAAGCACAATTTTTCTGAGAAAATATATGGTGAGGCAGCGTATTGCAGTGGCCTCTGGAGCCAGACCACCTCACTTGAAAACCCCGTTTGGGGGCCGGCCTGGTGGCGCAAGCGGTTAAGTGTGCACGCTCTGCTGTGGCGGCCCGGGGTTCGCCGGTTCGGATCCTGGGCACGCACCGACAATAGCTTAGCAAG